TAAATTTTGACCCAAGTCTATTTTGTTAAAAATTAAACATTATTTCAACGAGCGTTTCGTCCTATCGACGATAAAATTTTTAAATCGTTATTCGCGGATTTTCGAGGATAAATGTTACATTGAGAGAAAATTAAGGGTCCAATTACGAATTGTTGTCCAATTGTTGAAAGTTTACAAATCAATCCACCAAATTAGTCTGTTTTGCAAACGAAAATTTAGTCAATTTATGGGTACTGAAATGCTAGCGGCGCGTAGCGGTGATACGATGGAACTAAAAGCTATAGCTGTCCTTGTCGCATACTAATGCTCTCTTTGTCTACGAACAAGACATGTGTTACCATCTGTCGGAGATTGCTAGAACTGCAACGTGTTACCGACAGTGATCGATACATGTGCTGCCATCTGTCGGGTTTTCCCTGTTTGTTCTTTTAGTTCAAATCGAAATTGAGAGGTGCTTAGATGGCAGCAACATCGTAGATAAAAGCGCAGTAATGTTCAACAAGGACAGATATATCGCGCCGTGAAAGACAATGAAGGCTTAAGCGTGCGACAAAGAAAGCAACATATTTTATAGTTCCATCGTTTCACCGCTACGCGCCGCTAGCATTCAGTGTCCATAAATCGACTAAACATTCATTTGAAAAATAAATTAATTTAGAGGATTGATTCGTAAATTTTTGAGATTACATCGTTTTAAATAGATCCTTAGCTCTCTTCCTACACTCCATTTAACTTCTAAAACGCACATATAAGTGTTTAGAAATTTTTGACAGTAGACAGATGAATTCGCGCCAATAATATCCATTTACCCGCGAACATTGAATTCGAAATTTGAATTAATATAATTCGTAGTTAATATGAACGACAAGTTTCGCGTACAGATTTGGATACGAATGACCATTTATTAAGTAATTACTTCACGTTCCTTCGGACTTAATTTCGTCATTATTACTCCGTTATAGTAGTATAAAAACTACAGGTAATTTTTACTTGATAAATTTGTCTCACAGGA